TCAAAATCTGACCTGGCAAAGTATTTAATCACTGTGGCAGGAAAAGGGTTCAAAGGGTATATACAATTCTGAAGAATATAACGTTTACAATACTCCTATTGACATACAAAGAACATATAAAATGCATGATGTTATGTTTAGTAGGTTGATTTCTGTTTTGAATGTTAAGCTTGATACCTTGTCATATCTTGTCTAACATAAGATTTTCCTTTTTCCTTTTTATAGCAAGTTGTGATCTTAAAATATCTCAAATAGGTAATCTTTAACCTAGTTGAGACGATTAAAAGATTTATATATTCTAAAGATTTCTGCATATTAACAAATTATGTATTTTGCCTTCTAGATGATTGTTTTCTTATATTTTCGTTTTATATTTGTGAATATTAGGAAAACGACGGACTAATCGATCTTTTTAATTGACATGTATTCCTTTATACAAGATGAGAATACGAAATTTTAAATCTGAACTAATTAGTCTTTGAAATGTGTATAGACCCCTAGTAAACCAGTTTTGATCGGAAATGGTCATTTTGATCTAAAAAAAGGCAACAGTAGTATACTGCTGTTCAATAGTCATAATTCGATTAAGGAAAAACGAATCCAGGTCAAAAACTTAAACTGAGGGAAACGCATCAACTATAAGAGGAAAACAACGGAACAACAGAAACACTACAACAAAAGCAAACGCCAACATACATAGACACGGACTGTAGATATCAACTGCCATATTCCTGACTTGGTGCAGGGCATTTTAGGGGAAAAAATTGTGGGCAGAACCTGGTTTTATGGCTATCCAAACGTTCCGCTGATACGGCAATGTTGAAAATATCGCTAAAATGACAACACTACGTAACAGCAATACAGCACAAACAAACGCAAGAACACTCACAACAGAGAAATACATAAAAAATTAATATAATAGTGCATTACAACATGTAAACAACAGAATAACAACGGACAACTCCCACAATTTTACGACAGCACACCAGGACACTACAAACGAAATATAAACTGCGCTTCACATGAATGGATCAACGTCACAAAAAATGACGAATTTTTTGTGACGTTTATATTATCACAGGTAAATTTCTAAAAATAGATTTGTTTTACAAGAATCTTAAGTTGGGATTGAGTTTGTAATGTTGTTATTATTTGTATTTCCTAACCATAACGGTTTTCTTCTAAATCAAAACTGTGTATAAAAAAATATCCTTTTGCATTTAGTTGATTAAACTTAAAATCATATAAATGAAGTAGCTGATTTTTTTATCCTAGCTGTTACATGCATATAGAAAAAGACAATTAATATAAGACATGATCATATAAGACCAAACAGTAAACACACATGAAAACAAACAACATAAAACAAAAACCCTGTAGAAGAACCATGAGTAACTCGACTAAACTGATAAAAAAGACATATGTAAAATATACCGAAAATACATAATTCAAACCACAAACGAAATAAACAGACACAAACTCACCACAAAATTACCCACCGGACCCACACGTATGAGAAAGTTACAACAAAAAGCCCGAAAAGCGGGATATATAAATACCGAACCACGTCGTCTCCAACAACGAACATAAGACATAATAAAATATCTAAACAACACTTTACAGACTGAACATTAGGTCAGGTTTATTCAGTTTATTGTAAACATTAAACACTGCGGTTAATTAATTACCGTTCAGACAATTCGCCTCAGTTAATTAAGATCTGTTGAGTCTATGGTCAGAATGTTTATTCTATGTTCAGTCTGTTCAGTATATATTTAGACTGTTTAGTCTATGTTCAGACTGTTCAGTAGCTCTTCAAATTTATGAAGTATATCGTAATGCTGTATTAGCATTGATGAGAATAAAAAAAAGAGAGGCGAAATATACCAAAGGGACATACACACTCATAAATCGAAAATTAACTGACATCACCATGGCTAAAAAAGAAAACGACAAACAAACAGACAACAGTACACAAAAAAAACCAACATATTTAACCACTGAGACTTAGCATCACGAACCCAACAAAACACCGGGTTGATATCAGGTGCTCCATAAAGGTATGCAGATCCTGCTCTACATGTTGCACCCGTCGTGTTGTAGTTCAAACCCGGTGATCCATCTCATTATGTAGGATGCATCCGGGTAAAGGGGACGGGATTGTAGAAACGACAATTGGAACACATCCGTTGTCATCTGTGAAACAGATAATCAATAACGGTCATCAACTCGTGTTGGCGTCCATACAATTTACGAAGGGAGGATTTCAACTTTACAACTTGGTACTCTTGGTTTAAAAGCTTCCTTGTGAATAAGTTTAACATCCATTCTAACAATGAAGTTTAATCTAACTTTTCTATGAGTATTGACTGAATGATTGTAAGAATATTGATACTTTGATATAATGTGGCACAATTATATAGCTAGTAGCACATAGTAAATTTCTATGTTGTGTTGGGATATCAAATATAAAGTAAGTTTTAATAGACCTCCATGAATTTATTATAAAATCTTTAAATTATAGCTTAGAAACTGAAACTTTTTTCTGTTAGTCAGAAGCAGGGAGTAAAAGCCTGCACCCGAAAAAAGGGCAAATCAAAATTTCAATTAAAAAAGTGGAGACCAATCACTTTATTAAATGTTAATACAAAAATTGCATCAGCTGATTTAGCAAATAGACTAAAACCTTTTCTTGGGGATATAACCAGTGAAACACAGCAAGGTTTCATAAAAGAAAAGTATATTGGAGAATATACTAGGCTTATTTTTGACATTATGGAAAAGGCAGATAATGATAATCTTCCAGGTCTTTTACTTCTATTAGACTTGTGAAAAAACATTTGATACTCTTGAATGGCATTTATTGACTTGGCTTTGTCTTTTTTGGGGTTTTGGTCCAATTATTTGTAAATGGGTCAAAACCTTATATTCAGAATCTAAGAGATGTTTTATAAACAATGGTCACTGTTCTCAATTCTTTAATATTGGTCGTGGTGTTAGACAAGGAGATCCTTTTTCTCCTTATATCTTTACATTATCTTTAGAACTTATGAGTGCTGCACTTAAAAACAACTCAGAGATACATGGTATGAAAATGAATGACTCTGAATATCTTCTAAGCCAGTATGCACACGACTCGTGTCTTTTATCAGATGCGAATGTGCAATCTGTAGAAAAATGTTTATATACTTTAACAAAAATTCTCTGAGTATAAACTAAGGGCTAACTTTGATAAACTTGAAGCCATATGGATTGGTTCAAAGATTCACTCGCGGGATAAACTAACAACTACAAGTAACTTGAACTGGAATTATTCAGGAAATTTTAAACTTCCAGGAATAAAATTTGATCTGTTCAGTGAAAATAAAACGATTGTTAAGTTTTAGAAATTTTTTTTTTAAATACAGAGCTAACTTAATTCCTTGGTATATAGAGATTTAACCTTTATGGGAAAGATTACTGTTCTTAAATTATAAGCTCTGCCTATTCTAATTCAGGCATTAACAGTTTTGCCAAACCCACCTGTGGATAAAATAAAACAAACTCAAAATATTTTCTTTATTTTCCTGTGTTCAGGAAAATCAGATAATATTAAAAGAAAAGATATGATAGGGTTGTATGAAAAAGTGGGCTAAACATGTTTTTCATTAAAGATGAAATGGATAAATAAACTTTTAGCCCCCTGGAAAACACTGTTAATAGATCAATACAACAGATTTGGAGCAGACAAAATATGGTTGATGACCCCTGATGGTATCCAAAAGATTTCTACCAATTCAAATAATTTTTGGGAGATATTTTACTAAACTGGAATATCCTAAACACTGTCACTAATGACATTGTTTAGGGATCACGAAACAATCCATATGACTAAACAAGAGTTTGACGATAAATAATAAAACTCTAGTTTACCAGAGTGGGTGTGAATCAGGAATTTTTTTTTGTAGGTGATTTACCTGATGAGAACAGTGATTTTTTTACTTTGAAGGAATTACACGGAAAATTAAATCTTAATATTAATTTCCTGGAAAACCATTCTTTACTTCATATGATACCAAAAGATAAGAAAGATCTAATCACTGCTTCAAAGAAAATAATGTGCATATCAAATGAAAAAATTGAATTTATTAAAACAGTAAAAAATCATGTAATTTTACTTGAACATTAAATGCAAAAAATATTGTTCTTGGGTCAGAGTCGTGGGATGTTTCCCTAAAATGTATTCACTGTTCTGGTCAAGTATTTCATTTAAACATGTCGCTTTTACACCTCACTACCAACTCTTACAAATGTGATAGCTATGATTAAAAATACCTACCAAATAGAAAATATATCTTCATCCTTTTAAAGATCACATAAGGCAAGAGAGAAATTTGTGAGTAAATTGAAATTGAATAAAAATTTAGTTTATATGTGAGGGGTGATCTATCTTTTTGTACTCATTTTAGGCTTTATTATAATTCATGTAGAATAAATAAGATGTTGATGCACATCACAGTTGGACAGTGATTTGTGTGCATCATAAAATTGCTATCTATGATGTGTATTGATATTGTTATATATATAGATATACTTGATTTTGTTTATTGTACTTGAATTGTCAACCCTTGACTTGGTTGTTATTTACTTTGTAATTCTATCATACATGTCCTGTCTAACCCTTATATGTTAATGTTCTCTGGTGGCCTCTCATGTTCGACATCATAGTATTAACAGATATGCATGTGGTAAGAGGAGAAGGCTAATGCCATCATTAACTTTTTCGACGTATTCATGTAATTTATTCCAGAGTAATAAAAGATGAGTATGATCTAGTAGATAATTATCATATATATGCATAAAATTAGCGTACCATTACATTTTAGATTTAGACTGCTATTGACAAATGTAATAATAATACTTATATTATAATTATAACTATTTCTATGTATCTTAATGCTTGGAGTTTTTCAGATAAAATAAAAAAAAATACAAAAAATGAGTATAAAGTATGTCTGAATTATTATGATTGTTCAAATAACACTGAACACTGTGAAAAAGAAAGAAGTTTTCCTACCATATTATGTCCTCACCAACTGATATATAATGAAAAAAAGTTATATAAAAAAGTACTTCATTGACTGACACAAAATATGAAAAACTAATGTAATGTTAGCTGTATGTTGTCAGTATCACCAACATAATAGTGTTAATTAATGATAAGGTAACAATCCCGATATAGTAAAGTACAAACTGACATTACAACGAGCAAATTTCACGTAAGTTGCCATCCAGTTTTGATTTTCTTTTTTCTGCTGTTAAAGATTTATAACCATCACAATGCAAAGCTCCATCATAGCACTGATGTGCTGTGTCTTTGTCACCTAATATCTCATAACATACGCCTAGTATTGTTAATGAATCAGATAATGAATCAAATGGAATCAAATATTGTTCTTTCACTGTTAAAAATAAATCACGTAAAGCCTGTTGTCTGTTGAAAATATCACCAAGATGATGATAGCATAGAAATCTCAGGCAGTGAGACATTACAACTGGAGGATAAAAAATGAAGCTGCGTTCAACCTCCAGCTGTAGCTCTTCTGGTATTAATGATGAGTGCTTACAGTACATAACCCTACTTATAATAGCTACTTTCATCTTTTCATTTAATGTCATTGTAGAATTTACATTTTGTCTGTAAATATTTCTAAGTTTACAAAGGGGTTCACTGCAACCAAACACCATATCAGGTGAACATCTTGAGAGAACATAATCCGTTAGTATGAGTGTTACACTGAACTTTCCTGTTACATAATAAAACGACGCGTATAACAACCAACCCGACACAGCATCTGTTTTAATGCAGTCCTGTAAATGGATATTATAACATTTGCGTATGTTGTAATTATTACCTATTGTGTTTGGCGGTGGAAGAAGCTGTGCTAAATATTGGCTAGTTTTGAAATAATAATATTTACATAAATCAATGAGAAATGTAGATGATTCGGACTTAATTAAAGATTTAGTCATTGCAAGTCTTTTATAATAGCTTGAAATATCTGTTGATGCTGTACAATTTATCATTTCCTTAAGCCTGTAATGAAAAAAGTCTAACATAACGAACGAAGATTCACTCTGTGTACGGAATAAACAGGGATTAACCTTATCAAGTGGAAAAACATTATTTACTAGTCCATCAATCCTTAAACACTTTATACTCTCAAGTACACCTATTAGTATCTTATTGTTACTCCTTCTGATCTTTCCTAAGAACATATTGTATTCAGGTATAAAATAGTTCGGACAGTAGCATGTGTTTACCCACAAAATTAATTTATCAAGACAGAGAGTAAAACAATAATATAATTTAGATAATTCAAATGTGTCAATGTTTACTTCCTCTGAAACCCAGAATAAAGCCGTCTTTAGAAAGTAAGAACACAATAATTCTTTGACTTCATCGTTTATGTTAATAATATGCTTTAATGTTAATTTGAGTAGACCGTAACATAGAAGTTGGGTGAAATTAAACGAATGTACAAGTACTTTTTCGGCCACAGAGAAGGATATTCTCCATAGGAAGTGACCATCCGATACAGTCTTAGGTCCTATAGGTACTAACAAGCATCAATAGTTTATGACCCTGTGAATTACGAAATTTGGCGGCCATTGCCATCGCTGTCTAGATGCCCATGGAACTGCATTGTGAGGTAGATATTTACTTCGTAGGCAGTACGCAGTATCTTGTAATAGTTGTTCGTCCGATATACACGGACCATGTACAATCCTCGGCACATTAACATAATTTTGCTTATAACTATCAAGAAATCGGCTTGTTGATATATAAAGCCAGTTACCGGGACATGACCAAGGATGACAGGGACATGGTTCAACAAGAAGTTCCCCATTGTTGTGTTTGATACATTTGAGTATAGTAAATCCAGGATGAGTAATATATGTCTCCATAACATATGTTGCACTCTGTATTGGATATTTGATATCCTTTACATTCCTTATAACTTCTACATTACGATCTATGTACATTATATCGATATCACTGCCTGGTAAATCAAATCCTTCTGCCAAACTTCCACTTGACATGAGTGTACGATCACTAGAACCTGAGTTGACGATCCTATCTAGATTGACAAATAGTCGTTGTCTCTTTCGTATATCTATTTCAGTACCAACTGTTTTTACTAGATGTTCGTATAAGTACTTCTCCCTCGGGTTATTTTCGAGCCAAAGCAAGTGATCTATAAAGAATATGTGTATCTACTTACATATCATAAAACCGTAAAACAGTCGAGCCGAGCTGTATTTCCCCTCTGAAAACTTTTGTTTACGCACTTCTAATTTAGGTTTATTAAAAAAAAATTTAAATTCACATTATTTATAAAGAGTTTTCTTATGACTTATATGAATTTTACTGCCACTTTTATTGGGTGATTTTGCCTGTTAAGTAAGTTTGCAACCTCATTGATTGGGTGATTTTGCCTTTTAAGTAAGTTTGCTTGTTGCAAATCGATGTAGATATTTTTTGAAAACTTTTATTCATCAATGTTGTGGTCTAAATTAAGTATAATAATACTTTTGCATATGAAGTACCTCAATTCTTAGCTTATTTGTTCTGAAATTAGCACTAAGTCGTTCTCGTTGAATGAAGACATTGCAAGGAGTAATACAGATTAAACTTTACAGACATTAATTTTATTATCAATTTAATTCATCCTGTCCACTGGTCGTCGATTGTAAATGACCGAATGCGACTGTTTCCCTATCTATCTTGTCATGAGTAGCACGGAGCATTATTACTCAGTTGTTAGTTTTCTGTGTAGTTTTTCTGTATTTCTATGTATCATTGTCGTTTCGTTTAGGGTCATGATGTTGTCTAGCTCACTTTCCCTTTTTGGGTCATGGTATTGTCTGTTTATCTTTGGTTTATAGTTTTGATTTAAACCATGGTATGTTTTCGTTATGTAGAATGTTTATTTTTCATTTTAATTATATCAAAACCTACTAGACATCGTCAAGTGAAAGAGACCTTGCAAAGTGATTACCTTTATTGCAGTCTGTACAATTCTCTAAGTACTCCAGATATTCCTTTGAAGATTTGTCAGGATATCTTAGGTTTAGTATCCACAGTTCTTTGGTTTTCCTTCTATCTAAACAAGCCTTATACATTCGTTCAAACTGGCTTATATTTCCCAGTAAGAATTTTTCCTATTACCAGATAAATTTTCATCTTCATGATTGTCTTGGTTTCTGAAGTTTCCGTTCATGATGCCTGTAAGAACGATATGATCACAAATATTAATAATGGGTTAAATTTTTAATGCAATGAATTCAAAGTTTTATATAACTGTTGAAAATATAAAATAATAATAATCCGATTGAAATGTATCAGTTCATTTATAATCATTCCTAGTGTAAAACCTTTTTTTTTTAATATAAATTACATTTACGGGATTGTTAATATGTTGATACTGATATATGGAATAAATTTCATAGCTTTAGTTGACAGGACTGTATCGACTAGAAAGATTTTGAGCTTTAGTTTCTAATGTAGATATATAAAAGTAATAACAAAAATAGTCTGTAAAAAGTAAATTTATAGAAGTACCGATCTTTAAGGAAATTTCAAAACGGAAACTCCCTCACCAAATGCCAAATCAAAAGCTCAAACACATCAAACGAATGGAAAACAACCGTCATATTCCTGTTTAGGTACAGACATTTTCTTATGTAGAAAATGGTGGATTAAACCTGGTTTTATAGCTAACTAAACCTCTAACATGTATGACAGTCGCCTAAAATTCCATTATATTGACAACAATGTGTGAACAAAACAAACCGACATATTAGGTAAAAATGTTATAAATATTAGTCCATTAGTCCCTAAAACCTGACAAAATCAAACGCTCGACTATATCAACCTTTGGAACCAATAGAAAACAACTGTCATATTCCTGACATGGTACAGACATTTTCCAAAGAAAACGGAGGATTAAAGCTGGTTTTATAGCTAGCTAAACCTCCCCCTTGTGCAACTTATGTTATCATTAACATTAACATTTCCAGAAAAAAAGACTTTTGTTGATCAAGAAACTGCATCGAAATTTTTAAGCTCATCCGACAGGTTCATGGATACAAACTGTGGACTTCCGCTTTTTGAATTTACCTTGGAGTTCGTATTGTTTTGCTATACATTTTTATTACCGTTTTGTTTGTGGTATGTTAAATTTCATCAGTCCTGTTTAAACTGTATGAACAAAATGAATTGATCGCCTTATACACTATCTTAAAAATTAAAAGATTTTTCCCAAAATGGATATTTGGGGAACATGTAAATAAAAAGGTAAACCAGAAGCAAAACACAAAGGACATCTGGAGGTCGTTAACATAAGGTCTTCGTTCATAGTTAAATATTAGCAGTTTAACAACATTGATTTGCAAACATGTTCACATCCAAATTCCGAGAAGAAAATTAACAATCTGAATCTGATCAACACCTAAAGTAGGAGAGTAAGGAAGTAAAGACACAAAACTGCTAACAATATCTATGTCTCAAAATAGGCTGATAACAATGAGTAATCATTTGCGATTGGTCCGTTTATATTGATTTATAAGCAGTTAGTTTATCGCTAAGCACGTAGAAATACTTTGCTGAAAAAACTTTTCTGATATAATCTAAAAGTAGGATATGCACTGGTTGTTTCACAATATTACTCGATTTCCTTTAAACTCGTCTTTAAGGAAGCTGAAACAAAACGAAAACTTACTCATTTTGTTAATACTTTTCCTGAGGTTATCTGATGTTCGTTTTTAAACAATGATGGAAAATCACTTAGCAGTAGTACCAAACAGCTGTACGAAAGTACATATAAGGAAATCAAAACACAACAAAACTTAAGTGAAATATATTTCTTAACCTATCTTACATATATATTCCAGTGGCCATTTGTTACCATGTCCAAAACATGTTAGTTTGTCTTTTTGTATGGTACCTATATAAGTTATTAGCACAAAGAAATGTTTAACTCGTTACATAGTAGTGTTTTATTCGCATTAAAAGTAAACTAAACAATAAACGACCGATGATATGAAAATAAGGATATTTGGTATGATTGGCAATGTGCAAATTACCCACAGAGACATGCAACAGGACAGTATTAGGAACAGTTAAATGCCGCCATACGATCTTTAACAATGAGCAAACTCTATACATCCTATATTTAGCTATAAATAGCCTCTGTTTTACACAATGTTAAAAACATTAATGTTTGAAATTTAAAGATATGATTATCCATACTTTCAAATAAAAGTTAAAAGCACACAGTTCATGCAGACAATCGCCATATGTTTTTGCTTAAATTCAGTGAACAACGATTTAGTTCCGCAGAAGAAAAAAAAAAAAAAATTTCTGCGCCGGTCAATTTTCATTATATTTGAATATATGCACTACAAAAGAAATATATTTAAACTCTACATTATGTTTCACTATAAAAAAAAGTAACTCATGTAATTAACATGATTAAATATGTATTTTACAGTTGCAAGCATAGTTTTATCTGTTTAAATTTTTGTGCGTATATATAACATGTATTAATAGATAATTAATTGCATATATCAAGGTCGATATAATTATGAATTTCCGAAACGTTTTCATGGATTATTTTAAAAAGTAAAGTAGCAGTAGAAGGAAACTGAAATAAAAAGAGAAAAACTTCCTTATACAAGGATTGTTAAGAACTTGTTCTGAGAATTCAACATTTTGCTGGAATTAAGGATGACTATTTGTGTGATATTCGAAATAATCTAGTTTTGTCCATGTAGTGCAAATAAATATTTTACCCGCTAAATCCTACTGTTCTTTTCATAATTTTATTACATATAGATTACCAAGTATTTGAAAAAACTTTTAAAACCTTGTTATTTTTTGATAGTTTTTGAAAGAAAGAAAAGGTTGGCCCGCAAATGTTAAATGTGTAAAACATATAGACGGATTTTTTTTCAGCCACATTTATAATTGATCTTATCCTTGAAAACTAGGACATGGACCTGTCATTTTTTTCTACTTTTTAAGTTCCATTATTTACAAACACGCTTGTTAATTTGATTCTTAAGGCAAAAATATGGACAATACCGTTTCATAAGTGTCAACCACGGGTATACATGCTCTTTAAAGAACATCGAAACACAGCATCACTTATCTTAGTATGAAATATTACTTTGATTTTAGTTTTGATACATGCACTCTTCGGTAGTTGATTTTTTTAGAATGTCGAATGCATTTAAGAATCACTTGTTTTTGATTTCTACCTAAAAGGTTATCGGCACAAATAAATGTTTTATATGTCAGACCTTTTTTTCATAAAGTAAAACAATCCATGCACGTTAACATAATAGTTAGATGCGATATGAGGAAGCTATGCAAACCAATTCGAAACAAATGGATCAACCGTATGTCAGTCAACAATAAGCACAACCCATACGGTGTAAAAGACTACTTCAAAAGGGGTTGGTGTGACAAAATGTGAAACAGTATAAAAAAACAAGAAAAATTTAAGAAAACCAATTATGGCAGACAGCAAAAAAAACAACAACACAGGATTACATGTTCTATAGTTTATGGTGCTGTTTTTTTATACGACTGCCATACAAGTAAGAGGTTCAGCTATCTTTAAAACCAGATGTAATCCACCATTTTCTACATCAGAAAAAACCTGTACCATGTCAGGAATATGACAGTTCTTATTGATTCGATTGATGTGCCTGAGCTTTTGATTTTGCCATTTATTTAGGGACTTTCCGTTTTGAATTTTCCTCGGAGTTCGGTATTTTTGTTATATTGTACTTTATACTATAACACATTTATCTCGTCTTGGCACAACATGTCTTGTCTTCTTCAATCATGTTGTTCCGTTTTTCTATAAATCCAGTTTGTAAATTGTCCATACTTTTATTAACTTACGAAAGGGATGTAACGTCGACAGGAGGGAGATAACTTTGGCATGTTGATTTTTGATATCAACACAAAGATACACAGAAAACGAAAATTAAAGGACGAAAAATATCCCCACCAATACACTTGATGTTTT